GTTCCCTATTGGTAATTTGGGTAACCTCTTCAGAGGATGGTGTGTTAAGAATAGGAGGTAGGAATTGGCTAGGAAGTTAGGGTAGAAAGACCCCAAAGTAGCCAGTTTCTTGGCTAAAACTCAAAATGTCCTTGGGTCTCTTAGCAACATACTCTGTTCCAAAGGCCAAAAATGGCAAAAGTATTTTGGGAGCTCTTATCTAATCCCTAAAAGATTTTAGGATTACCTCTTCAGAGTAGGGAATGTTAGAGTAGCAAAAAGCCCCATTTGAAAAAAAAAAAAAAAAGTACATAAAGTTGTGAGGAAAAAGTGATGGGGAGACATAGGAGGATCTGGAGGGGTGGGAGTGGGTATGGATTTGATCAAAACACCTTATATACATGTATGAAATTCTCAATAATTTTTTTAAGAAAAAAAAGAAATCTAACATGATGCACTCGGGTTTCCTGTGAGGATTTTGTGTAAGAAAACCTCTTGAATTCACAGTTGTTTTTTTCTGAAGGATTTAAAATGCTATGTCTGACTCCTTTTCACAAGAGCTCAGTAATACAGAGTCACCAGCTCTACTTCACAGATAAGATATACCGTGCTTCTTCACAGCCTTGTCAAGAAAGGAAAAAACATAACAGACAGTACCTCGGTCTTTCCACATTCATCAGGCGGATCCTGGTGTATGGTCATCTGATACTTGACATATAAAGAAAAGGACTGGCTGAAGGACGACTTGAACTCTGGGTCCTCAAAGGAGACAGGGACTAGCCTCACCTTCAGAGCAAGGAGAATACAAGCAAATGCTATTGAGCCAACTTGACCTGATGACTTGCTTCTGAAGGTGAGGCTAGAGGAAGATCTCCGCAAATCCACTTTCAAAGCTTAGCACTAGATTTGACACAAAGCAGCAATCCCAGAACGGACTAACTGCACGGAGCCTGAGCCCTAGCTTTTGACTGACACAGGAGGACCTTCAACTCACGAGGGCCAGGACAATCTGGTTTTGTTTTCTTGTGTTTTCCCCTCTATCCACGAGGTGTGTTGCCACATACATTCCTCATTACTGCTACTGTGGTCATGGCCAATACTGCTGTAACCTCTAATTAATGACGTTTTAGGCTTTTTTCTCTTCCAGAGCTGTTCTGAGTCATTCGATTTACAAAATTCAAAGTGTACAAGGTGTCTATTAAAACCCTCCCCTGTCTTCTTTTCCAGCCCACCTCTATGACATATGGGTAGCACATTAATAAGGAATAATTTAGCTCTGAACTCTTTCTAGATATGGCTTTTAAAACTGGATAAAGTATATTAACCACATCAGGTAAAACATATCTATCATAAAAGTAAGAAGTTTGTCTCACAGGTTTTTTTAACTTAGCACTCCCCTAAAAACTTTTAGGTTAATGCAAAAAAAAAAAAAATGTAACTTTAAATAAAGGTAACTTTACATGTGACTTTCCACTTTGAAATTATATGACTGGCACTTAACATGACAATAGGTAAAATTTACCTTTACAGCATGCCCATTAACTGAGCCCTGTTTTTGTGCAGATATGGTGCAAACTGAAAATAAAAACGTAGCACAAGTAAACCAAACGGTCATACTTGGTCTGCTGACCTGGCTCACAGTTGGTTTATCAGGTGGATCCTTGTGAATAACCATCTGGTAACGCTTATAGACCTGGTAAGATTCCTGAAATGTGGCTTTGAACTGAGGACTTGGCGGAGAAGATCTCACCACCCTCACCTTCAGAAGGAGTTAAAAAACAATGTCCATTAATTCATTCATCTATTCACCCTGCAGAATATGCACTAACAGAAATTCTCATTCAAAACAATATTTCAACAAATACTAAATACTATACGCATAATATTTTAACATTAGAAAACCAACTAAGGTAGTAAATGAAGAAAAGTTATTGCTACAGCCCATTGCCTCCTTAAGGCCAAGAAGGCTCGCTCTAAATGCTAAGCCTCACCCCTCTGATGACAGACTTAGGCCTGCGGACTATAAACTGGCAGCTCCAATCAGCACTAATCATACAGACACAAGAATGTACCTTTCATTTCCGTCGTCCATAACCCACTATAAGCGAGTCAACCAGAAAGATTAAAAACTGTGTCTATATCTTCGGATACTTTTATTCATCATCATTAACTATGAAACTATGATGGTGTACGAATAAAAGGCAGAGCTCACAAAGGGTGTCTACTTCACAGTAAAGACTGCTGCTGTTTCCTTTGCTCCTGTCTTATGATACGAACAGCTTGGACAAGTAAACCAGCATCTCTGTGCTTTATTTTCTTCATATGTGAAATGAGAATAAATTTAAAACAATGATGTGCATAGTACCTCTAACATTTACCTTATTTTAATTACGAACCAGTTAAGATGTAGTACAACAGACTAGTAAAGCAACATCAAATGCAATACAATAAAAGCATAACTGGATACTTCGTGTCTGCCATGAGAAGTAATTCTTCTGCAAAGAGTGACAGTAGATAACAAGTCCCTTGCACCCTAGATACTACTATACTAAAAGTGTAAATGCTGATGCCTACAGACCTATTATGTGAGGTGTGGATGGCTCCCAGAATATACTATTTATGATCAAAACATAAAAACCTCCTTATAAACTATTTTAAGTAGTAATGTTCAATCCTATACAGGATTGAAGAAAAGTCAATACCAAAATCAATGTAACAAGTAGTTGTAATACTCAAAACTGCTAAAATAAAATGTCTCGCGATATATCTATCACACCAAGGCTTGGAATACATCAAAATTGATTTTAATTTCTGTGTGTGTGCGTGTGTTTGAGGTGTGCATGCATGCACATAAGTGCACAGGCCCATGTGCAAGCATGTGGAGACCAGAGCAGGATGCAGGGTTCGCCCCCATGGTGCTCACTCCACTGTTTCTCACTGAACAGGAAGTTTGTCATTTGGCCAGCAACAAGGTCTGGGGGTCCACACCCGCCCCCCGATACTAGGGCTACACACACATAGCCATGCCCTGCTTTTTATATGGGTGCTGGGAATTAGAACTCGGGTCCTCATGCTATAGACCAGGCTTACCCACTGAGTCATCTCCTCAGCCCCAAAATTAATTTCTCTGTCAAGATTAGCATTAATATTTTTGGATGATATTAAGCTGCAAATTCAAATCAGGCAGAACTTTTTTTTTTTTTGTCTTTTTGAGACAGGGTCTCCCTGTAGTCCCAGCTGACCTGAACTCATTATGTAGACCAGGCTGGCCCTGAACTCACAAGGATCCACCTGCCTCTGCCTCCCAAGTGCTGGGATTAAAGGCATGCACCACCATGCCTGGCACATGTTATGGTTAATGCTCTGGAGGAGAATTTAATGTATATACAATTAATATTGAGAAATTCAATTTGTTTTCAAAATATAAAACATTTTGGAAATTCCATTTTGGAAAAACTGGGGTTTAAGCATACACACACACACACACACAAATCATACATAAATTAGCTGGGATTTCTTATTGAGAAAAGATTTTGGTTGCATAAATTAGTACCTTTATTTAATTTCTAACTACGGGTTTGCATATGTGACCATGGTTACTACCCTGATCAAGATTTAGATTAGAATATTAGGATAAAACAGTGATTTGCGTATTATGACCCAGTCTTAATATCTAAACTATCACTATTTAAATCCAAAATAAAATGTTAAGATATTTTCCCTTTTTATAAAACTTTTTATTTCATTTATTATTTTTATTTTATGTGTATTCGTGTATTGCCCGCATGTAGGTAAATGCACCTGTATTGTACAATGTTCAAGAAGGTCAGAAGAGGCTGTCAGATCCCCTGGGACTGGAGTTACGGCCAGTTCTTAGCTGCCATGTGGGTGCTGAGATTTGAACCCAGGTCTTCTGTAAGAACAACTAGTGTTCTTAAACGCTGAGTCATCTCTCCAGCCCAGATATTTTTCTTTTTCAAACTACTTAAGCTCAATCAAGGGACACAAAAAGCCAGGGTAACCTGCTTAATAACATACTAAAATTGGAATTTTATCATAATTTTAATAGCTGATTAACATATTTTCAAAACTTTAAGAAAATTCTTCTCAAATAGCAGTTGATTTGCTCTAACACAAAAGCTACTCAATTCTAATTTTTCATTATTTAAATAGTAAAGTATCAACTGACAAGCATTATTTTAAAGAAAATACAAACCCAACACACAACAAAATAAACCAACCACAATCTACCCCCTTCCCTAAAGTACCTCTAACTTGTGTGATGCATTCTCTGGTGAAGACTCAAAAATTAAATCTTCAAGGGATTTGGGCTGATTGGATTTAGCCTTTGGTAAGGAAGACGCTGGCTGGCCTGGAGCCTGGAGCCCCTCAAAGGCTCCAGCGGGTGCCTGCTGCCTGAGTTTCAACTGTCTCCTTTCTTTACGCATTTCCTTCGCTTTTCGACATGGAGGCTTACTCAAATCCGCCCCTTTACCTGAAAAGAATTTCAAAATATCAGACCAATGACATAGGCTCTAGAAATGTCTTTTTAATATTTTATGTATTTTTATTTTATGTGCCTGAATGTTAGAGCACCCGTCATGCAATGCCCTCAGAGGTCAGAAGAGGGCATCAAATCCCCTGGAACTGGAGTTATGGACAGTTGTTCGCTGCCATGTGGGTGCTGGGAATCAAACCCAGATCCTCTGCAAGAGCAGCCATTGGTCCTAACTGCTGAGCTATCTCTCCAGCCCCTCTAAAAAAAAATTTTTTTTTGTCTTGAGAAAAGTCTCTTCTGTAACCCCAGCTGGCCTGGAACTCACTATGTAGACAAGGTTGGCCTTGACCTCACAGAGATTCACCTACCTCCCCCTCCCAAGTGCTTGGGACTACAGGAGTGCACCACCATGCCCGCCTTTGAGAATGTTTTCTCCAAGAGTCTTCATTTTGGTTTTTTTTTTGAGACAGGGTCTCCCTGTATCCCCAACTGGCCTTGAACTCACTATGTAGACCAGGCTGTCCTTGAACTTAAGAGATTCGCCTGCCTCTGGGACTAAAGGTATGCACCACCACACTCAGCTAAGAGTCTTATAAATCAAATAGTAACAGAAACTTTTTAAGGCAGCTCTTGTTGAAAATTTATTCATTTATTTTATTTATTATTTTATGTGTATGTATTTAGCCTTCATGGAGGCCAGAGAGCAACAGATCCCCTGGAACTAGAGTTACAGATGGTTGTTAGCTGCCACATATGTGCTGGGAACCAAACCCGGGTACTCTCCAAGCACAGCCAGTGCTCTTAACCGCTGCATCATCTCTTCAGCCTTCATTCATACATTTTAAGTATCTACCCATTTCTCTGCTTCTATAAGTAGAAATCATCAAACCAAGAATCTTTTGCTTCTCTGGTTCACATTTCTAGGAACATTTCTCTGAATCCAGAAGAGACTCTGGTGGATTTTGTTTCTGTTTTTAATTAAAGAGAATTCTTAAACTGGGCATGGTGGTACAAGCCTTTAATCCTAGCATTTGGGTAGTGGAGGCAGGCAGATCTCTGAAAAAAAAAACCACCAGGAATGAACTGAGAAATTTTTAATATTTTTATGAACAATTACCTTACTTCAAATGATCTGACTAGTACAGGAAATCTTCATGAGTTCCAATTCCAAAGGAATACACATGTGGCATTTTTAAAATAAAATGGAACTTGAAGTTCCAAAGATTCCTATCCTTTAAAATAGTCTCACATCCTATTTTGTTTTTTGGTTGTTTTTTGGTGTTTTGAGACAGGGTCTCATTATGTAACCCTAGACCTTGCTATGTCAACCAGGCTGGCCTCCAACTCAGAGATCATAGAGATCCTCTACTGCCTCTGTGTACTGAGTGCTAGGATTAAAGATGTGTGGCACCACATCTGGCTTTCTAATCCCCAAACTCAACCCATTGGAGGGGAGGTCTCAATCTCACATATTTTTTTTTCTTTTTTAATGTGTATGAGTGTTTTGCCTGTATGTATGTTAAGTGCACCCATGTCATGCAGAGGCCAAAAGAGGGTATTGGATCCCCTAGAACCGGAGTTACAGGCAGTTGTCAGCCACCATGTGGATGCTAGGAACAGAACCCTGGTCTTCGAAAGAGCACCCAGTACTCTTAACTGCTGAGCCCTCTCCAGCTCCATGTGACGTTCCTGATGAGAGATCTCCTGTGGGGAGAACTGCAGAACTGTGCTCAATGTTTCTGTGGACACAGTGCTAGAGGTCAGTGTCCCAGGTGGTGAATACAAAATGAATGACTGAGTATCAATTCCCAAATCCATTTATGCTTCGTGTACCCTATTAACACGAATAAAAACTGAGACATCCAAATATGTTATTTCCTTAAAACACCAACCTCTACAGTAACCCCAGATAAATAATTCCTTAATCTAATTAAGACTTGCCCCTCTTCAAAACAGAAGAAATTTTAACCCTGAATTTGATCAAAGGCTCTAGATCCAACTATCAGTGTACAGAAATGGGAAGGAAGAACAGGTTAAACCGCCAGCACCCATATGAGGGCTAACAACCATCTGTAACTCCAATTCCAGGAGATTCAACACCATCCTCTGATCTCCGTGGGCACTGCACAACACGGGTGCACTTACATACATGCAGGCAATACACTCAAACACGTAAAATAAAAATAAAAAAATTTTTTTAGAAAAGTACAGGGTCTAACAAGATGGCAAGCAGCAATCTGAGTTTGAGCCTCAGAACCCAAGTAAAGATGGAAGGAGAGGAGAGAATTGACTCCAGACTTGTTCTCTGGCCTATGCACCCTCACACATAATCATATATCGCACATGCCCCCCCACCCCTACACACACACACACACAGCACAGCACAAACACCAATACACCCACATCATGCATACAACAAAATAAAAAATTAATTAAAAAAAATAAAAGTGCAGAACTAGGCATGGTGGCACACCCCTTTAATCCCAGCAGAGGCAGAGGCAGGCGGATCTCTGTGAAATGGAGGCCAGCCTGGTCTACACAGCAAATTCCAGGCCAGCTGGGGCTACAGGGAGACCTCGTCTCAAACAAACAAAACAAAAATCTGAAGCATCGTTACTATGTACCTTCACATTTTATGAATTTTGTAAAAGTCTCTGTCCAACACAAACTAATGTATAAAATTTTAAGCCCAATTTTTTCATACACATTTATTTATCTGTTTATTTATATATGTATGTATGTGTGTGTGTGTGTGTGTGTGTGTGTGTGTGTGTAGAGATCTGAGGACAACTTGATCCAGTTGGTCCTCTCCTTCAACCATGTGGGTTCTGGGGACCAAACTCAGGTCATCAGGACTAATAGAGCAAGCACATTTACCTAAGCCATCTTGACATCCCAAACCTAATTCTTTTGTAAGTAAGAATATGGGGGGGGGGGTGGGATCGTACACCACTTAATGAAGTTAAACATTAAAATCCTAGCATTACATTAAAAATTTAATGATAAGTATTTCTTGAACATTTTTGGAAATAATATTTGAAATTTACAGTATTCCACAATACCAAAAATAACAATGTTCGTGACTGTACCTTTATGCTGACAAAAATCTGTCAAAGCTCTAAGTAAGATGAAATGAAACAGACTATATTTGAGAAAAGGTTTAATACCAGTTTTTAAACATAGTAGTTTTAAAAGGCATGATTTGAACCAGTAGAGGGGGCATAAAAATGTAACCCCAGTCCTCAGGAGGTTAAGGCAGATGATCATGAGTTTGTGGTCAATCAGTGCTATATATTGAGACTGTCTCATAAAAGCAAAAAAATATTTTTAAAAGATAGGATCTGTCCACCTAAAGTCAAGTTGATAGTAAGTTGTGTAAAGGAGGGTTCTGTTACATAGAGTTCATAAGCAGGCCATCTTCTTAAACGCGGTAGGGCCCAAGAACTCCAATGGCTCAAGCAAAGAGAAACACGGCTGGTATGACCTGCTATCAATTATACACTACCTGGCTTAGGACCTCTATGAACTTTGATTGAATGTGATGGTTCACCAGAGCCCAGCTTCTCCTCTATCACCTGGGGATCTATTAATTCATTAGATCCTTCTTTCTTTGAACTTTTTTCTTTCTTCTTTTCTTCACTCTCTATGCTTGCTTTGAGGTCACTGCTGAGTGTTTTAAGATCACACTTTAGATCCAACTTATTTATTAATGCAAAGTCACCACCAACAGCATCCTCCATTGTGGAATCCATGGGCTCATCTACAAATCAGAGAAAAATGAAAACCCATCAGCTACATCATCTGACACACTCAAGATGCACGTGAGTACAGCGACCGTCTTACCCACTGTGGCAGGTCTTGCTGTGTATCGGCCAAATCCACTCTCCTGCCTTCCCAAGCAAGAGCAGCACACCTGAACCTGGCACTGGTAACAGGACGGTCCACCGCCTGTCTCTGCAAGTTGTGGTCAAGTTAGGGATGGAGCACAATCCATCCAACATACTCAATTCTGTCTCACTTTAGAAGAAAATTATGACTTAAGATCAAGTGTTTCCCCTTATCACTGGCTAGGCTAAGAAAAACCAGAGTGTCCTTCAGAACACAAGCTGAGGAGGAACAGACTGAAGGCTCATCTGGAACATCCACACTGAGTTGCTATGTGAGGAGAGAGCAGATTGTTATCACTGTTAATTCAATACATTTAGTGTCTTTGTCATAGCTGTTTAGGCTTTGCTCTGGTGAGGACATCACTCCTATGAAGTCAGTTTCAGACACAAATAATTCAGAGAAGCCAGGCATGGTGGCACATGCCTTTAATCCCAGCACTCAAGAAGCAGAGGCAGGCAGATCTCTGTGAGATCGAGACCAGCTTGGTCTATATAGTGAGTCCCAGGCCAGCTTGGGCTACAGGAAGACTCCATCTCAAAAAAAAAAAAAAAAAAAAAAAAAAAAATTCAGGAGCCTGTAAGTTAAATAAAGAGCCAAATGTACAAGCCACATGAAAACATAAGCAATCATCAATTTACAAATGAACTATATCCTCGAAGCTTATGTGCACATTAACGTTTGAAACTTAAACCATGATTTCTGGACACACAAACAAAAAAATTCACAAACAAAACTTATTTAATCCTTAATGTAATCATAAGTATGTACATGTAATACTAATATTACATATGCACATGTAATACTAATCAGAGCTATACCAAAACTTTTTTGTAAATTTATTTTTATGTGTATGAGTGTTATGCCTGCATTTATGTAAGTGCACCCATGTCGTGCAATGCCCCGGAAGACAGAAGAGGGCGTTAGATCCCCTAGAAGTGAAGTTACAAACGCCCCGGAAGACAGAAGAGGGCGTTAGATCCCCTAGAAGTGAAGTTACAAACGGTTGTTACCCACCATGTGGGTGCTGGGATTCAAACCCAGGTCTCTGCAAGAGCAGCCGTGTTCTTAACCTCTGTGTCATCTCTCCAGCCCCATACCAAAACTCTTAACATGTACAAAGCTCTAACTGGCACTGAACCTCTAAAACAAAGCTTTCTGTCCTCCTGTCCCCCGCTTAGCTATGTCTATACCAAGTTGTCCATTCAGGGCTCTGCAAGAAGCACCTGCAGCAGGGCTTACAGCAGTGACTAGGGCCCCGGAGGCACCCAGACCTGCTAGAGGGATGACTCAGTGAGCTACAGCTAGGGTGGGACAGTCCCAGGATGAGGTCTTTGCTAAGGCAGTAATGACAAAGCTCTGAGACCAGCATTCCCAGTTGTGTTCCCACACTACGCGTCACTCAGGAAAACTTAATGGTTAAAAAGATATTAAGAAATCTGAAAAGGCAAGTCAGTCCTACTAATCACCTTTCAGGTAGGGAAGTCACTCAAAACTTAAATTTACTGGGCAACTAAAAAATAATTTCATACAATACAATTTAGTGAAGAAGCACACTCAGGAAAATTGCATGTGTGTATGTGATGTGTGTGCATACAGGCACTTATATGCCATGCCCCCACGTGGAGGTCAAAGGACAACTTTAGGGATGTGATTTCTTGGGTTTGTTGAAATTTTTGTTTTCCGGATGCTTTGATCACTTATCTTACTTGATTCTAGTATGTCCTTGTGATGTAAACAGAAAGCATACTCTTCTACAGAAGAGGATGCTTAGATGCATCTAAATGTATACAAAGAGTGGACAGTCACTTTGCTGAATAATGACCAAATGGGGCCAGGGAGATGGCTCAGCAGGTAAAAGCACTAGCCGTGCAAGCCTGACCCCTGCTCATCCCTGGAACCCAGGAAAAAGCCAGGTTTGGTGGTACACATCTGTAGTCCCAGCTCTCCTAGCCAAGTTGGGAGGTGGAAACAGGAGAACTGCCTAGAAGCTTGCAGGCCACTAGCCTGTGCCCTTGAGAAATGGCAGTGCCAACAGTGTCACCATCATGTTAGCAGACGGCTGAGGTAACCTCCTTCTACCTAACCTGAGAGATGAGAAAGCAAGGACCTGGGAAGGAAGTCAATTTACCATACAGAATTTTCAGATCAGAGCTCATCTTACCTTCAAAACTTCCTTTAGAAATCTCCCCTTTAGCCAGAAACTTCAACATTTTTTTCAAAACCTTCTTGTGAGATTTTGATGGCTGAAACAGTAAAGGTCGACACCTAGAAAAGCAGAGAAAAAAAAATTTTTTTTTTTTGGTCTTTTTGAGACAGGGTCTCCCTGTAGCCCTAGCTGTCCTGGAACTCACTACGTAGACCAGGCTGGCCTTGAACTCATAGAGATCCACCTGCCTCTGCCTCACAATAAAGGCGTGCACCACCACACCTGGCTAGAAAATATCTTAAAAGTATACTAAAGCTTTGAATAAAATCAGGAGTTTTGAGGGGGTGGGAGTTGGGGGGGGCTTTCTTGGATGGGGGGGTTTTGTCTTTTTGAGACAGGGTCTCCCTGTAGGCCCAACTGGCCTGGAACTTGCTACGTAGACCAGGCTGGCCTTGAACTCACAAGGGATCGCCTGCCTCTGCCTCCCGAGTGCTGGGATCAAAGGCGTGCACCAAGGAGGATAGCTAGCTAGTTTTGAGTAGTATAGTCTACCTATGCTAAAGTACATTGTAGCAAACTTCATACCTGGGATTTGTGGTTAAAGATGGAATTTAAAGTAGTTTTCAATACCACTCCAAATCTCACTATAACTACACTTAAGAGTTTTTAAAAATGAAAAGAAAAAGGAGAGGGGGGGGAGGGGGTTTGGTCATGTTGTTTATTACAGGAACAGAGGAAGAAGGAGGAGGAGGAGGAAGAGGAGGAAGAAGAGGAGGAGGAGGAGGAAGAGGAGGGGGAGGAGGGGGAGGAAAAGGAAGAAAACACACAAACCAGAGGAAAAAGAAGAGATATTCAAAAAGCTGGAAAGCAGATACACAAATGGTAACTGGTTTAGAGAACCAAAGCTGAATCCTAAACTAACAATGGGGAACCAGTAAGACATGCAATTTTCTCTATATTATCTCTAAAAATCTTATTTTATTATTTTTATGTATATGAGTGTATTGCCTGCATGTAAGCACACTATTGTTGCACAATCCCTAAAAATTTAACACATTATTTACACCAGGTACCTCTTAAAGTGTAAGTGAAGATGAGTCTTAAAAAGGAAGCTCCACTGGGGGCTGGAAAGATGGCTCAGCAGTGAAGAGCACTGGCTGCTCTTGCAGAGGACCAGGGTTGGAGTCCCAGCACCCACATGGTAGCTAACAACCATCTGTAACTCCACGTCCAAGGGATCCGACGCCCTCTTATGACCTTCGTGGGCATTGCAGGACACAGGTGCACTTACACACATGCAGGCAATACACTCATACACATAAAATTTTTTAAATAATTTTTAAAAAGATCCCTCAAGAATCTGTTTTCAAGGCAATTCCATGTCCGATCCCCATCCCCAAGTCCATGTAGTTGATTCCTTACATAACCCAACATTCAGGAAAGAGCAATTCAGGAAAGATACCATATGTACTGAAAACAAGACACATAAATGAAGTCTACATACTAATGTTGATTATCTCCATCTGTGCTAATTAGTTTTCGTCAACTTGACACAAACCAGGGACATCTGGGAAGGTGGAATCTCAAAGAATTTCCTCCATCAGACAGGCCTGTGGGCATGTCTTTAGGGCATTATGTTTATTGCTAATCTATGCAGGAAGGCCCAGACCACTGTGGGTGATATCATCCTTAGACAGCTGGGCCTGGATGTATAAAACAATTCAGTATGGGTGGGGAGGCAGTATTCCTCTGTGGTCTCTGCTTCAGTTCCTGCCCTGACTTCCCTCAGTAATGGATTAGGGACCAAGGAGTTATAAGGTTAAATAAACCCTTTCCTCCCAAGGTTGCATTTGGTCAGTGTTTTATCACAGCAACAAAGCAAACTAGGACAGAAACTGGTACCGGGAGTGTGGAGTATTTCTGTGATGGACCTGATCATGTTTTTGAAGCAGGTTGTGGAAATATTTGGAGCTCTGGACTGGACGTGCTTAATGAGCAGCTGTTATGGTGCTTAAAATGCAATACAATGCTGAGAGCAATGTAGACAATGGAATTCTGGCTTTGGAAACTTTCAGAGGGAAGCAAAGACTCAAGCAGGGCTTTTCATGTGATATTTTGAATTGAGAACCTGTAGGTCCTGGTCAGCTGGGACTGAAGAATAGGCTGTGATGAACAAGAGACCAGCACCACTGAAGTGAAGCCTTTGCTTTACTGGAACAACTGATGCTGGTTGGCTGTGATTAATAAAAGACCAGCATCACTAAGGTGAAATCTGGGAAGTGTTTCCCCAAAGTCAGCACACAGACCCTGGAGGTAGTAGGATTAGGCTGCATCTCAAGTTGGTAGCCGAATTGGTTATGTTTTATAGAGTCTGCTACATGCTAGTAGTTTTGAGGGCATGAAGGTCATGAACAAGCTTGACACCATATATCAGGATTGGAATCTCTGCAGAGAGGCCAAGAGGTCACTAAAGGAGTAGCCTCAGCTGTAATGGAGGCTCCAGGACTGGAGGGTTCATGGAGAGAAGACAAGGCTTAGCACCATGTGACAGGATTGAAAACCCTGCAGAAAGGCCAGGAGAGGCCCACTGCTGAAGACGCAGCTTCAGTTGCAGTGAAGAGGGCACTGGGGATGCCAGGATCATGGAATGGCCACCAAGGACAGTGGCAGGTGTGAAATGGGGCTGGCCTAAGCCTAGATAAGCTGTGTGTTGTGATGGGAGAACCAAAGAAGTGTGAGTGTCCAATGCCTTTGAAGCCCAGAAGATCAAGAGTGAGACCCAGACATCAAAGACATTGATCTACGTTGTTATTTGGGTTTGTGTAAGTGTGCCTGGTTCTTCCCTTTTGAAATAAGAAAATATTTAACTTTCTTTTATTTTTACAGGAGCCCATATTTAAGAGATTTTTGGTTATTTTAAAGAGACTTTGAACTTTTAAAGAGTTTATTTTTTAAAGACTGTGGGACTTTTTAAATTGTACTGTTTTATATTGTGATATTAGCATGAGATCTTGGGGATGAACAGGAAAGGAAAGGTTATGGTTTAAGAGTGACATGTTTGTGTGTCAAGTTGACAAGGGACCACTGTGCTTGTTTTTGTCAACTTGACACAAACTAGAGACACCTAGGAAGAGGGAACCCCAAGGAACTTCCTCTATCAGATTGGCCTTGGCCATGTCTACGAGGCATTTCCTTAATTCCTAATTGATGTAGGAGGGCCCAGTCCACTGTGGGTGGTGTTATCCCTAGGCAGGTGGGCCTGGGCTATATAAGAGAGGTAACTGAGCAAGCCCAGGGAGCAAGCCAGTAAACAGCATTCCTCTGTGGTGTCTGCTTCAGCTCCAAATTTGAGTTAATGTCCTGATTCTCCTCAGTATTGGATTGTGAGACTGGGGAGTGGTAAGATGAAATTAACTCTTTCCTCCCCAACTTGCATTTATTCAGTGTCTTATCACAGCAACAGAAAGCAAGCTAGTATCTCAACACTAAACCACCACCATTTTATACTTTAAATATGATCAGACCTAAAAATATTTACATCACAGATTCCCCAACAAAATATTCTAGCCAGATCATCCTACCTGGAGCCTATAAACAATAGACCCATTTGCTTGGATGCATGGAACTTTCACTGTAACAGTAGAAAGCTATAGTCACCAACACTTGAGAAGAGCATTACAGGGAAAGTGCCAAACAAACCCAAGAAAGTAACCTGGAGGGTACAGACTGTGCGAGAAGAAAAATGCTAGAGAAATTTTCTATTTTCTGAAACAATTACAGCCTTAACAGACTTCATCCCAAAAGACGAGGCCAAGAGAAAAAGTTTTAGGTGGTAAAGACTGATGGGAAAAATAAAGCATTAAGTAGGCAATTTTAGAAAATAAAGAAAATTTCCCAAAAGATTAAAAAAAAAAAATGGGGGGCTGGAGAGATAGCTCAGTAGTTAAGAGCACTGACTGTTCTTGCAAAGACCTGGGTTCAAATCCCAGCACCCACATGGCAGCTAACAACTGTCTGTAACTCCAGTTCCAGGGGACCCGACAGCCTCTTCTGTCTTCCACGGGCAATGCATGACACGGGTGTACTTATCTACATGTAGGCAATACATGCATACACACAAAATAAAAAAAAATAAAATATTTTTTAAAAGATGGAAAAATGAAAAGAAAAAAGTAGAAGGCTGCGGTGGTTGGATGACAATGTCCCCATAGGCTCAAGCATTTGAACACAAGGTCAGCTGTTGGTGCTGTTAGGGAGGTCATGGAACCTTTAGGAGTGTGGCCTTGCTGGAGGAAGTGTGACCTAGGGGAGAGCTCTGAGACTTCACTGCCTCTTCCCACCCAGTTTCTCTCTGCTTCCTGAATGTGCTTGAAGATGTGAGTGCTCAGCTTCCTGCTTTGGCTGCCAGGTGCTGCCATGCCTGCCCCACCCTGATGTCTTCTCCCTCTGGAACCATAAACCCAAATAAACTCTTCCTTCTATAAGTTGCACTGGTCATGGTGTTTTATCACAGCAACGAAACTAATACAAGGATCAATCTAAAAGGTGCTATTTGAATGCAGGTGTAAGAGAAAAAAGAAGATGGAAGATTAGCAAAGTAGTTCATGGAAATGTCCCCAAACTGCAAGATATGATGAAAGAAACTCCTAGAGAGAAGCTTCTTACATCCATAAGTGATGGGTAAAAACAGACACCAGCAAACATGAACTTTCAAACCCTGAGAACATAAAAAGCTTCCAAAGAATATATTTCAGACAAGGGAGTAAGAAGCAGAATGCCACCTGACCTCTGAACAACAGTAAGACCACCACAGAAGGGGCTGGAGAGAAGGCTCCACAGTCAAGAGCACTGACTGCTCTTGCAAAGGACCTGGGTTCAGTTCCCAGCACCCAAATGGCAGCTAACAACTGTCCATAACTCCAGTTCCTGGGGATCCAATGTCCTCTTCTGACTTCCACAGGCATTGCATGACATGAGTGCACTTACATACATGCAGGCAATACACTCATACACATAAAATAGTATTTTTTTGAAAGACAACAACAGAAGAAAGTCTTCCAAATTCTAAAGGAAAATTACTTTTGACTTACACTTCTATATCTAACTACTTAGTCTGAGC